AATCCCCGTATCGTAATTGAACGAGAAATAGGAAAACGAGGAAAAATTGAACCAATATTTTTTTCCAAATTGCCCCTTGATTGAATTTCTATACTCGACCAGTATTAGTTTTCATTTTTCTGACATTGTAACGGATCGATTTAGCGCCGATCTATTCGACATAAAAATTATAATTTCTTAATTAATCGAATAATTTCGTTAAAGAAAAAAGAAGAAAAATCCTCAAATGTTACGAAATATCACGGGTCAGCCGCATTGGCAACAGGTACACCCGAATGAAATTGTTGGCTAGGTGAACGAAGAACGACGGAGCTGATGGCTCGAAATATTGGCGAAAAATGCAAATTGCCTGTGCGAGTTGTGCAGGCAGCGAAGTGATTGAAAACACGCGTCATCTCCGGCCAGCAGGGGGAGGGCCTCGGCGCGTTGCTTCCGGTTCCAGTCGACTTCCGCCACGATTACATCGTTGCACGCCCGAAAGATAGCGTAATTGTTCAAGTCCCGCTCTTTTTTCGCGCTTTCGAGCTATTCGTGAAACGCAACAAAGGTGTTGTGGAACCATTCATGTTGCCAAGTGCTCGAACGAAATTTTACCCGAAGAAATATCCATTTAATCTATCCGTCAATGGGTGCCGATCCTTTAACCAGAAGGTGTGTAACCAGGGTAAATCACTACCACCAACCATCATTAGCAGAAAATCACGTTAAACGCCCTCCTCGCGTCATCATTCACGCGTCACTGTCAGTATTCCTAATGCAACTACACCGATTGCCAATTAGCGGGCAACGGTGTCGATCGATCGGAATCCACCGACTGTACACGGCCCAACGATCACACTCGTTAACGTCAACCGGCGAAAGAACCCTATCTCGGATCGCAAGATTCCGAGATTCGAATAATAATCGCCCTCTCGATCTCTCGTAATGTAATTCGATCGAACCGGCTGATTTAGATCGTTTCTTTCGATATATATTTCGGGTGGATTCCAACGTTTTCCGTATTATCCACTTCCAATTTTGATAATTATTAAGGTTCATTTCTTTTTTTTAGAAGAATATTAACCCTTTGCACTCGTATGTCGCCATATAATCGTGATCCTACGTTTTATTTTATTTACTGTAATGTAAATATATGTATAATATAATTAGATTCTAGGGACTCTTGTTACTCGATCGATAACCTTCTTAAATATAAATACGAGTGCAAAAGATTAGTCGATCAAGCGACAGTATGATGGTGAAACGTTTACTGTTGAAACAAATGCAACGTTTTATTATTATACATCATTAAATATATAATATAATTACATTCTAGGGACTTTTGTTACTCGATCGGTAACCTTTTTAAATACAAATACGAGTGCAAAATCGATCAAGCGAAAGTATGATGGTGAAACGTCTACTGTTGAAATGCAACGTTTTATTATTATACATTATTAAATATATAATTACATTCTAGGGATTTTTGTTACTCGATCGGTAAACACAAACATGAGTAGTGCAAATTCTAATAATTCTTGCAGATTCTTCCTATCTACTTTTATACTTTCTCAAAAGTGGTATATAAGTAATATTATACAAATATTCTCACTCCTCTTTTGCATTAGTTCATTAGTCGTCTCGTTAATACGCGACAAGCCGTAAGCCATCCTTCCAAACCCAATTAAACGGAGCAAGAGGAAGATCCTCTCCTCCCTTTTCTCCCTCTTCGTCTCGACGAGAAAAAGAAAAAAAAAAAAAAGAACCGAGAGAGGAGATCCTAAAAACCGGCAGTGACGCGAGGCTCAAAGCGATAATTGCACACGTTATTCCGCGTTAATACCGGCGGATAAAGCTGGCCCGTCACGCGTCGTCCACCTCCTTCTCTCTCTCTCTCTCTCTCTCTTTTATTTCCACCGCGAATCCCTCACTCCTCCTATCCCGTTTGCAGTCGCGGGTAGACACGTTTGATTAATTCTGTATCCAAGCGTGGCTAATTCGCCGGCGATTAACCTCTTCGTGCCTCGAGAGGAGGGGTGAAAAAAAAAAAAGAAAAAAGAAAAAGGAAGGGGAAAAAAAATGCTGCGATGGTGGAGAAAAACGAGGAGAGGAGGTGGACACGCGAGAGAATGGAAATGTCAGGAAGCGTCTCTTTCGAACTTGTTGCGAACGACGCAGCAAAACCGTGCTTCTACGCGCTGCTCGCACGGTCGAGTGATAAACGAGCTGCGATTTGATTAATTCTGAATGGAGGAGGGGAGAATGTTCGAAGAAGCGAGCGATGCGTGTAATAGTTTGGTTTGGCGTGGTTATTACCGTGAAGAGAAATGGGAGATTATTACATGTATATATTTGTGCGAAGTTTTGACAACCGTTTTCAAGCGGCCCATTATTCATAACGTTGATTTGGCGAAAATCTATCTGTTTAGATTTCTTTCTCTCTCTCTCTCTCTCTCGACGAGTTTTAAGGGGGGAAATGATGATCTCGTAGCTAGCGCGGAGTGTCGAGTTCTCGTTGCTTTTTTTCGTGACTCGTAGCGTTCGTTGAATCGTCAAGTTATTACCAGTTGGAAGTAAAAACGGAAAGACTGTGATCCTTTCCGCGCGAAGCTTGAACCGCGTCACGCTTAATCCCGATGAATTTTTTCTTTTTTTCAACGAAGCCCTGTCTTGCCGACCGGTGTGCTCGAGGAACGCCTGGCCCCCTGTTTTATGCAAGCCTCGGGTTTTATGCAATGAGACTGCGATATCAAACGGCCGCGAAAGTCGTGCCGGCCGAGTGCCGTTGAATAAAATATTCGTTCAAATAAAAAAGAAGAAGAAAGAGAAAAAAGGAAGAGAGGAAGAAGGGAAAAGGACTGTCAGGGTGGAAACAAAACAGGATGACGACACGATCGTTGCGCCACAGAGAATCTTCCATCTCTTCAGTTTTGCTTCGAACGAAGCTTGTTCTTATCTTTGCTGATTCAATTTTCCTAATTTTCGAGAGCTGGGCTAGATTCGATCCTCAACAGATATACAGTTCTTCCTGCACAATTCTGCTTAATCGTAGTGTTAATCTTATCAAAATGGCCAAGAGAGAGAGAGAGAGAGAGAGTGGAAGCCTGGGAACATCATCTAGTCTCTCGGGTTTTCGACTAGATGTCACCGCAGATCCTTGTCATCGTTAAACGACTCTCGAGTACTCGAGAAGAAGGGAGGAGGGAGCGGGGTCGGTTTGATCTGGGACGAAAACAGCGTGGAAACACGGCGTTCACCGGGAAATAGAGATTTCGCGGCAGGTCTTAGGTCGGCTTTGCCGGTTAAGCCGCCTCGGATCGTGCCGTTACAACGTTTCCCTCCTGCGATCTCGCGCATCATCCAAGCCCCCTCCTCTTTATTCCGCTGTTTCAACTCGCGGATCGACGACAGCCACGTGGCGCCAATCTAAGTTTCCAAGCGCACCCCTTTTTCCAAATTCCCTAGGGATCTTTTTCTTCACGATCTTCGAGAGACTTGGAGAGAGTTCGACGAAGCTGTACACATTGCCAGCCTACGTTTTATTATTATACATCGATGTATTTACATCTGTAAATTACATACATCCTAGGGACTTTCGTTTGGTGCAAAAAGTTGAAAGAGGATTGCTTGCTTCGAACGATATTTAATCGATTTTACTCGTTATTTTTCTCGTTAAAACTCTTTGTAATTATTATTGTTTTCCTTTAATTTGTTATCCAAGTCCAGGAACAGTTTATGAACAGTTTATCCTCCTTTATCAGCTTATTTATATCATTCATCACCGTCAGTAGATTTTGCAATTTTTTCTTTACATATATCAGGAATTTCTTCAATTATAGGTTCATTAAATCTAACAGTAACAATTATAATAATAAAAAATTTTTCTTAAATTATGATCAAATTTCACGATCAGTATTTATTACAGCTATTTTACTTATTATATCACTTCTTGTTGGAACAATTACTATATTATTATTTGATCGAAATTTTAATACATCATTTTTTGATCCAATAGGAGATCCAATTTTATATCAACACTTATTCTGATTTTTTGGTCATCCAGAAGTTTATATCTTAATTTTACCAGGATTTGGATTAATTTCTCAAATTGTAATAAATGAAAGAGGAAAAAAAGACATTTTTGGTAATTTAAGAATAATTTATGCAATATTGGATAACATAGGAACGTACTTGTTTCAAAGTTTCGCGGGAGGAATGAATAAATTAATAATAATATTAATAAAAATAAGTAAAAAAAGTGCACGCGTTCTCGTGGATGTAGAAGGGGGTTGTTGGAGAGATTTAGAGCGGCGATGATCCGGGGAAACGAACGAAACCGGTCTCTAAGTACACTTTAATTAGCCGGCGAGCAAACAATCAAGCTCCTAAGCCGGTGATTTACACGGGGAGCGTGCGTGCGCGGATACGGAATTACCATCTCGCCGCCAGGAGCGAGCTGAACGTTTCCAAGAAATCAGAATCCGCGCCCGCTTATGAGCTTTTCATCGTTCCAACACGTTCGAGGAACGCTCTTTGATCGTGTTGGGAAGAGAGTGAATCGATTACCAAGCTGTTGATAAGGCACCGTTGACAATGGTGCGTTTATAACAAATCCTTTGTGAAAATATCATTCGAAATTTTCGAGGGGACGGATAGAAGAAATTTGGAAAATTTATAATTTTAGAAAATCCACGATTTCTTCTTCTTCTTCTTCTTTTTTATAATAAATGCATAACTATGTGAACGAGATCTACTCATTGTATTAAATTTAGGAACGCTTAGCCTTTGAATATCAATCCTTTGCACTCGTGTCTCGCCATCCTACACAATCGCAGTCTATATGCATAATATAATTACATTCTAGGGACTTTTGTTATGTTGATTGGTAAGCTTCTTAAATATGTAATACGAGTATAAGTTCTTGGAGAATGTTATTTCTCCATTCTTCCTCTCTAATTCGATTTCTCGTATCGTTCACTTTTATTTCTTTTCTAACCTTCTCCTTGCCTTTTGTGTTTCAGGTAGGTCTAGTAAGCAATAAATTGATTTGTGTTCTGTGCACGAAGGGAAAGTACGTGCGAAGATTCTAGACAGTATGATGATGGCAAACATATCCCCCGTTATGCTGCCACCCCTTACCGACTATGGGATGCTGACTCCTACCCTCGGAATAAAGGTGAGTCGCGATCACGCCAGTTTGAATTGGCAGCGTATCTGTCGATTTTCAAAAACAAAAAAAAAAAAAAAAAGAGAGATGAAAAATTGAAATTGAAAAACTTTTTTTAAAATTTTTCCACAACAATTCGAAATTGGTACGATTATTGTTATTGATATATATATATATATATATGATAATTTGAAATAAGAATAAAAAAAAAAATTAGAAATCTGGTATATATGTATAAACTATAGAGATATTTACTAAATGAATTGTTTTTGAATTCGTATAAAAGGGTGTACCAATTAGTCGGTGTCAGGGGTAAGTGAAGAATCATTCTCTGAATTTTTCTCTTATTTCCTTTGCGGCATTGTTAGCGTGCTTTAGAGCTTGCTTCTTTTATAGTGCCAATGTTTTTTTTTCTTTTCTTTCTCGCATTCTTCGATGTTTCTTTGAGTCTTGTCCAATGTTAATGAAAAACGTGCATGCTGTTGAATTGTTTCTCCGCATATCTCGATGGGGGATCTTTAAATCGGCTGAACAGTATCCGGTAAGTGATGAATAAAAAATTAAACGTTGTTGCGTAATATTCTTTTCTTTGAAATAATTCGTTCGTGTAAAATTTTCACATTTAATTCTCTTCTTAATTCGTTGTTTTCTTCTTCTTCTTTTTTTTTTTTTTGGAATTATTCTAACGATAACAATTATATTCACGAATAAATAAATGATGAATCGTGATCACGATCGTTTCATCCGAACTTACAATCACGTTGCTGCTATTGGCCAACTTTTACTGCTAACTTTTACGTCTATTCTGGTTCATTTAATGGCACAATATTTCTACGCGTCGTTTCGCAAAGTGCACGCGACGATCGAGCGACGATACGATTGGGAAAAAAATATTTCCATAATCGAAATGTTAATTGAATTCGAGCCGAGTGAAAATTCTAATTCCTGGAATACGGGGAGGGGATGCATCCAAGTCGGCGCATTATGAAGCCACTGTTGCGACGCAACAGGTACCGACTGTTGTCCGTGGCCATTCCCCGCCGGATAGAGGATCTCTGAATCGGTTCAGCGAGCTTATGGAACTTATTTCTGGTGACTTTGTGCCTATTAACCTATTCAACGACCCCCTCTTAATCCTCTTCCATCCTTACACCCCTTTCCACCGTATTTATGCGCCTTTAAAAATTCTTCTATCGCTCGTACTTATGGCATCTTACGCGTAATTTCGTAATGAATTATTATTATTATATTATATTACGTACCTTTAAAAATTCTTCTATTATCCGTCTTTATATTACAGAGATTATCTCATAGAATCCCATAATTTTTTCCATAATAAA